AGGACAAAAATCAAAATAAACCAAAAAAAAAAAGTGTATTCTGGGAACTTCAGGTTCAGGACTAAAGAATGTCCATTGACTGACCTTCAGTGTTGAGTTTTGAAGTTCAAAAGTGGACAGGTGGAAATACTGCCTTCTTCATTGCCCTTTGGTGCAAGATATATTCTATGTTGCAGAGTAAGTGCCAACAGCAGCAAAATTATCGTCCCCTCCTGCTACTATAGTAAGTCAGCAATGGCCCTTCTGTGGTCAAAATGGCAAATTCAGCAGCAGCTATTCGACAGGGATTTGCAAAAACTTCCCCGTGGCTGTTAGGAATCTTATTCAGCAGTGTCTTTGAAAACCCAATTCTGTGCAGAATTAGCTATGTAGAAATGACCTCAGTTGTGCCTTTTTTTTTTTTTAAGAGTTTTAAACAAATGTAATTTTTAATTTTTCTCAATATGAATTTTGCACTTAGCGCTGAAAAGTCTACTGGACACCTATCCATATATCCAGTATTCTTAAATTTAACAAGGTTCAGAATTCTCTTTTCATATTAATGTAAAGCCTCCCAAAATTCCTGGCTTTAGAGAGTCAGTTTGCCACACAAAGCCACTATACATCACTTAGGTTTGTGATGAAAGAATGGAATTGCAGCTGTGTGAGTATTAGAATACCCAAACATGAATTAGACTCACAAGCATTTGGCAATAGTTCAGAAAATGAGCTTAATCTGGTTTCATCTGAGACTGCTTTTCTCTGTTCTACAACATCCCCCCAAGATGTTGTGTCTGATATCAGATCACAACGTAATGGGAATGACGCAGAATCAGAGAAAGCCCTAAGAATCCAGGGGCGCATTTGCCTTCCCCAGAGATTTTTTTTTTCCCTTCTATTTTTTTCTCTCTCTCTCCCCCAGATTCCAACTCTGAAATCCAAGGTCATTCACCTATTAGATGAATTAATTATAAGCCAGGAAAGCAGCATTCGTGGTACTCTGATCTCACTCATATCTATAATTAAGGGTAAATGTAATCTTCCTTTTAAGAAATATACCACCCACCCAATGCATTTAAAGTGCTGACTGAAAAGAAATAATAGTTTAGAGCAAGATGATTTTTAGTTTAACAAGAAAAAAAAAAAAGTTGATCATTTAAGCTCGAAGCAAGTCAGTTCTATTTTTTATTACCATTCAGTTATAAATCTAATTTGAGATGTAGGCTGCTTTTCTGTTACTCAATTTTAATTCATGGTTTGCATTCTTGGTTGCATAAGCCAAGTTCCGTGGTTGATCAAGGATGTTCAAAAGCTTTCCCCCAAAAGAAGTGGGGGCAGGGTGGAGAATCTGTTAGAAAGACAGTCTGAGACCCAGATCTGATGTCAAACGAACAGAAATGTTAATTGAAAGGGACCCTTACAGAAAACGCTGCACTTGGCATTGGAGTGCTATGTTGGGACTGGCTCTCTGCTGAAGAATTGGCTGCAGGGGGATAGACCCCAAAATATTAAACCTGATCGGCCATATCAGCCGATTTAACACTTTGATTGGAGTATGCCGAGTCTTGAACTTGTTTATCTTTCAATAAAGCAAGGAATGAGTAAGGGGAAGAGCTCATCTCATCACATGGCAGACAGTTAGGCGAACGTCGAACTCTGGGTTTAAGATTTACAGGTTAGCTCTCTGAGATGCCACAACTTGCTGCCAGTGTTTCCTGGCAGACGTGGGCAGCCTACTACTGGGACCCAGCATAACCGCAGAGCGTGAGCGTGCACAATGTCAAAATCTAAAGCCCCGCTCGCCTTGTGTAAGGCAAAGAAAAATTGACCCATTTTAAAAGTAGACTTTGCCTTTAAACCTTAACTTCTATTCACCATGAATTTGCCTTTCAACCTTAACTTTTATTCACCATAAATTTGTCTTTACACGATATGTGGGTAAATTCGTATATAAGTAAATTCTTTGCCATTTCCTGCAATACTTCATTTACCTTATTCAATCAAATTCATGTGTCTCTTTAAATTTGTAAACTCAGGTTTTTCAGCTGGTGGAAAATTTTTTTTTTATCTTTCTTATTGCAACAGTTAAGTGTGTGACGTAAAGGCCAAACAATAGTCAATAGTCATTGTTCATTTCACAAGTATACTCCACAATGAGAACACATATATTTTTATCTTCATTTCCCCTGGGGGCTGAATAGGGCCCCCTTAAGTGTGAGGAAATGCTTATTTTTGTTACATTAGAAGAATGATTCTGTTGTCAAGTGAAAAAGAAAAAGGAACAAACAAGTCTAAAAAGATAGACACAGAAATGTGCTTTGTGCTTTGAGAGATTAGCATGAGCCACTAAAGGTTGGTCTGCGCTGTCTGGTTTTAGACTGTCACTCTACATAGTTCCTGTGGCCGGCTGCACATTCTAGAGTCGGATACATGATCTATTTACAACTTGCCCATGAAATAATTTTCTTTTACATTAAGAACAATAAGATGAACCACAGGCTCTTAGCTACCTTCTAGCCTTCACTTTATATTTTTCACAGCACTATTGCGAATGCTGCTAAAATACAGTATTGCAAGGTCTTTTTTTCTTCTTTCTTTTTATGTTGACCTATTGAATGCATCTACTTTCTTGGCAGTGAAAACCTTTGCCACAGGTACCAACAAAATAAAGCTATAGTTAAGCTCATTAAAAAAACAAGCAAGCATTAAAAAAAAATCTGTTCAGCACTTTTCTGAATGTTTTGTATAATTTTAGAAAAATAAACATGAAGAAATGGGGTAATCCATGGTTACCAGAAGGGAAAGGGTGTGGGGAGGACTGAGAACTTAAAGGGAATGAAATAAATGATGAAGGAAGGAGACTAGACTTCAGGTGTTGAGCACACCATGCACATGCAGGTGTCTTATTATAGTTATTCACCTGAAGCTTAAGTGTATATTAAGTATATTGTTATAACCAATGTCACCCAATAAATTTAATTAAAAAGTACAAAAATATTGTCAATAATATAATTTTAAACTCTTTTTTTTTAATAAAATAAAGACTCCTTTGTAGATTTACCAAACTATAAGGAGGTTGTGATTTAAATCATCTGCAGATTTATTGATGAAAATTTCAAAGAAAATTTGGATTTGGACTTATATATAGACTTTGTTAATACGATTTACCAAGATCAGTATCTTTTTAATTGAGTTTCTAAAAATGTTTAATGCCATCCCTAAAATGACAAAGAAATCATTTGATATGATATACTGTTGGACTCCTGATTTTGTAGAAAAGTTGACTATAAAGAGCTCAGTATTTTAGTTTGTCCTTGCATAGCATTTTGGCATCTTAAATTCAGAAGAGACAGTAGTAATTGAGCATGTGGATGCCAGATTTTTATCTTGTATATAATCTGGTTTTTATTGGCTATTTATTTGGTAGATATTAAGATACTTAGAGTGATCTGATTACTCAAAATGCGCTTCCAACCTAAAATCTCATCCTTGAAGTTTTATTTCAAAGTAACGTTTATTATGTATCCCTTCAAAAAGTCTGAAACTGGAATCAGGCAAAAGCTAGCTTGTCAGTGGCTGATTAGTCCTTTATCTATTACTCATCCAGCACTCACAAATCCCTGGGAATGGAAGGGTCTCTTTATAATATTTAGCTATATGGCAGTGGAAAGGGGAGGTTTGAATTTTTGATTTTCCAGCTTATGGGTCATATTTGACCAACTGCTTTCACTCGCAGACATGCCACTTTGTTGAGCTATTTAGGAATCAAAAAGACTGCCTTAATTTAAAACAAGGACCCTTTGTTTTAGTTGGTGACTGCCTTGTGAAATTTTTCAGTTCTCAGCGGGTTAACCAGGGAACAGGGGCAGAGTCATAATTGGCCTATTTAGAGTATTTTGCATGTGAATAGTGTGTTAGTGAAGCATCCCTAAGTCTGTTGTGAGTGACATGGTGATTAGAATTTAGATTAGGGAAAACACATTCTGTACTTTATCAAGGACAGTAATTAGTTCAGTCAGTAAAAGTTGATTACAAGTAACGATAAAGTTAGATTTTTAGTACTTAATTTTAAAATTTCTTTATTAAATAGTAAACTTGATCTTAATATAAATGGTAGCATCTACCCTTGTTTTCCTTCACATCAGAATAATTAAAAGAACAATGTGTTCAATGCAGAGCATAATCAGACGATTTATATGTTATGGGTAAGTTTCTATGTAGTTTTTAGAAAATGTGATATTATATAATCTTTCCTATGTCATCATTTTCGAAGGTTTACTAATTTGTCACGGCGTGATACGTTAATGATATTTGTGAAAGTTTTCTCGTGTTCAGGTAAATGTTTAATCTGTGGGGATGTGTTTCAGCCTCTGATAGTCCTCAAGAGGGCACCTAAAGTTCCTTAATTTGTTCCTGTTAGCTTAGAAAGCCTCCTGTTCTTATGATTTTGGGAGTTAATGTGAGGATTTGAATTTCCTCCCGGATCGTTGACATTTTCTTTCCTGTGGGTGCTGCATAACTCCGTGGGGGATCTTGCTGTGCCGATGCAGAGGCAGGGGTCTCAGTGGACTTAAGCATCTATCTCCACTCACCCCCGACAGAAGCAGCCAGGGAGTTGTGTGCGTTCGGAAAAATCAGATGCTTCTTGGTTCTTGTTAAGGAAGGGCATGAATAGTTCCCAGATGTGAGCTTAAGTAGAGATAAAGAAAACATTAGTCTTACATAAGTGCCCTTTTTCTTTTACATCAAAATGTTAGTCCTCTTAAAAGATTAAAATATTGCTTTGGAGGGAACCACCTTCTACCTTCCTTTCCAAAGTAGGAATTAAAAATTCACCAACTCTGCGCTAGCTTCTTAGGCTGCTTTCTTTCCCTTTTTTTGTTTTGTGTGGTTTTAATTGTTTCAGCTTAGCAGATGCTGTTTTCTTTATGGCATTGGCTTTAAGTACTAACAATCAGTTGGGGGGTGGTGAATGTGAAAAATTAACCTTATATGTTTGTTTTCCCTTTTTAACCCTTCAGCAGAGTCTCCTTGGAGGTGACATGGATATGGGCAATCCAGGAACCCTTTCGCCTACCAAACCTGGTTCCCAGTATTACCAGTATTCTAGCAATAACCCCCGAAGGAGGCCTCTTCACAGTAGTGCCATGGGTAAGGTCTTCCTCTGTCTGAATGCCTTAGGAGTCTCTCTTTGCTTTCTTTTTTAATATCACCCTCTCATCCTACCACCTCTCCCCCCCCAATTTTTTTTTTTTTAAATCATGAAATTTGCTCAATAGTCAGGCTCATGATAGTAGTGCATGGGTGGGTACGTTAACAGTCTGTAGTAGAGGAAGAGCTATTACAGTGAGCACTTATTTCTTAGGTTCTCTTCGCTGCCCATATGAGAAACATTTTAAAGAATCAGAGTATTAAAAAGTTAAATATGTGCACTTTTATGAAGAAGAAGAAAAAAAACAGGCAGAATTTGAATTCTGCCAAGATAAAAAGTGATCCTGGTAGCAACATTGTGCTAAGGAAACGATGTAAGAAAATCTGGTCTAATCTCAAAGGCTTGGTAGTTTGATCTGCTTTTAGTTAGGAAAATGGGCCTGCGGGGAGCTCACAGCCTCTTCCTTTTCTTGCAGAGGTACAGACAAAGAAAGTTCGAAAAGTTCCTCCAGGTTTGCCATCTTCAGTAAGTACTGCTTGTTTCCGCTTTGAATATTATTAATTTCATTCTGTTTTGTGAGGCCTGAGGGCAGGAGGAGGAAGTGAGGTTCCATGCACCAGAGCTGCAGGGTCATCTAGAATGTGGATGAGGAGGGAACTCCCTGCATGTGCAGCCATCTGACCCGCGCTGGCGTGATGAATGGCATGTTCTGGAAGGCTGGGTGGTTGTGTGGGTGTTCAGCAGGTGAAGCTCAGAAGGGGGCCTTGAAAAGATACCTGGAGGTTCAGGAGTCTTACCTGTGCTGAGCTTTCCAGAGAATGAGTATTAGTTTCATGTGTTGGTTAAATTCTTTGTCACTATTATGATGATTTATGGATTTGCATGCGAAAGGAGATTTGTGGAGAGGATTTAGGGAAAATTTACATGGTTTTCAGGCTAGAGTGCAGAGAGAATGTCTCTATTTTCTAAAGAGGTTACTGAATAAGTCTGCAAAGGTAGCTGCTTCCATAGCCATTTGTGTCTGAAACACCAGGTGACAGCAAGAACAATCCAGCTATAACCAAAAGCATTCTGGGTCTTTCTCATAGCGAGCTAAATGCAGGAGTGGCTGAGGTGCCTCCAGTCCTCAGCACAGCAAACAGTGGCTATGATCACAGTGAAATGTGATCACAGTGAAATGTATTTTCATTTCTTACATATATTTTCAGATTTGAGAACCTGGTTTTGTGGGTGTTTTTTTATTTTTATTTTAAAACTGATCTATTTCTAATAATTTCCTCTTCATATAGAATTAAAATATGAGTTCTCGTTTTCTCCTTCTTTCTACCCCCCCCCCCCAATTTTTTCCTTTCTATGAGATAGATATTATAATTCAAATGTCTGTTCTGTAGGACACTGGTATTCTTTGAAAAGAATGATAATGGGCCTATTATAAGTTCTTACACTCTAAAATAAATTATATTTCTGGAAATATATTACTAAGCAATTCTTGCATATTTATTTTATTTTATTTTTTAAAATATATTTTATTGATTTTTTACAGAGAGGAAGGGAGAGGGATAGAGAGCCAGAAACGTCGATGAGAGAGAAACATCCACCAGCTGCCTCCTGCACACCCCCTACCGGGGATGTGCCCACAACCAAGGTACATGCCCCCGACCTGAATCGAACCTGGGACCCCTCAGTCCACAGACCGACGCTCTACCACTGAGCCAAACCGGTTTCAGCTTATTTTATTTTTAATAAATTAGAAGAATAATAGTTTTTGCAGATGCACTGTTAAATTAACCCAAACACTTGTGTATTTGACTTGATTTTAGTTCAGTTCATCTAAAAATTTATTAAGTGACTATATCAGAATAACTCTTATGGGGGGGGAGCAGATTTTGTATGCTGATTATCATAAACTTGGCCATGTTGAAGAGGCATCAAAAAAGTGTCCATAAATACAGAAAAATATTGTGTAAATAAAACTGCCAGTGCATATAGAATAGTAACTTTGGACTACCAGTAAGTCACTTAATATGTACTTGAGTGTTTATTCTTTGATTTTCCTATGTTGTATTGAAATTGACTAATATCCCCTTAGGTTTTTATAAGCATAGTTTAAGCTTGAAATTTGTGGTGGATTTAATGTAGATGAAACTTTAGCTCTTAATAGCTTTTATGAAAACTTGAAATGATATAGTCCTCACAGCTGTTTACATTTTAAACATGCCTGAACCTAATACGGACAGCATTAAGTACAATAAGTGAACCTTTGAATGTTCTGAAATGATAGAATAGCTCTGTGGTATAAAAGCCAAGCAAAACTTGAAGCTATAATGCCCTATTTATGCCTCATATTCAAATACATTTAGGTTGTTACTGTTTTTTTTTTTTTCCAGTGCTTAAAATAATGCAGAAATCTGCAGTTTCTAAGGAGTGCTTTGGTGTGGCATTAGAAATTATCTATCTGCTTATTCATTGTTAACAATAATTTATCATAATTCATTGTATATTTTTAAGTATTTCCCTGGAGGGAACTGGCCACTATAGAAAATTGTCTTAATAGCAAAATTTTCTTTGCTATTAAGACAATTTATGTGTTGCTGATATGTTAACAAATATTAAAGTACATTTTCCTTCTGAATAAATCTGGAATTGGAAATTTAGTTTGCATTATTTAATTTTGGGGTTTGATGATCAATTTAGGAATTCCTATTCATAGAAAGTGTATCTTGGCTACATATTTTAATGGTCCTTATAGAACATCTTGGTAAATAGGGTACGTTTTTTGAAAGACAAGGAGGGAAGTTCTGTGGAAATGGAAATGTTACCCTTTTTTGTGTGCTTGACTTTTTGTTTTATTCAAGAAGAAGAAGATAGCTTGGTTGACTTTTGGAATCCAGTAATCTATTTATTGTCATTACTTTAAAAATAATCTAGCTCTGTTTAAATAGCAGTGTAACTTAGCTTATATTAGCTTTGTTGTATGTATTGATTACACAAAATGTATATTTTATTTTTACCCAAAGAGATGGTCTGTAGTAGACACTGTAACACTTTTGCCCCAGTAGATCTGTATTTTTAGGTCTTTGCTATGTTTAATTCTCTTTTTAAGCTCAGATACACTTATGAATATTTACTTGATAAGAGACACCTCTAAAACTTGCTTCAATATATATGAATATTTTTATAACAAAACAAAAATTGCGGTTCATAAAAGGTTTCCTTTGGAGTGATTATGACTAGATAAAGACATTTATGTTTTCTTTCATACATATTTACCATGATAAATAGTAATAAATCTGTCACAATCTATTGTGTCAACTCCACTTGTTTTTGTTTGTTTGTTGTTGTTGTTTTCAAAATGGGACCTTTCTCTTCCTTAACATAAAACAAAGAAAATTGAAACTGTGACATCTGTAATCAGATGTTATTGATGACATGACTGCGGGGCAGAGGCTGGACTTCTCTGGCGGACATTAGGCGGGGTCTTGTAGGAAACGAGGAGAGTGAGGGGCTTGCCTGGCCCTGTTTTTGAGAATCCTGCAACATCCGTGGGAGAGAGAAAACGTCCGCCTGGCCCAACAGCCTGCCACGGAACCGGCAGGTCCTTGAGCGTGTGCCTGTGCTCTCTGCTGCTTAGAGCCCTCAGGTCACTGAGGAAGCCGGGCAGGGGAGGGGGCGGAAGACCATCCTGTAGGGTCTGTGCACAGGCGCAGTGGGGAGAGGAAGTCCTTCCCTCTGGAGAACAAGCCTGCAGTAGGGCGAGAGGGATGTTGTGTTTAAAGGAAAGGCTGTGTGAAATGACAACTCCAACTGCCCAGAGCCTTTCGTAGCATGCAGAACATTGTCATGTTCTCTGTTCAGGTTCCACCATGTGCTCCTTTCAGTCCCATCCCAGGCCCTTGTGAGCCCTTAGCTGGTGATGGGACTTCAGTCAGAAAGCTGCTTTTGTTGATGCCAGTTTGTTTCTCTTAGCTAATTTCCAGACTCTACTTGGGAACTTCTTATCTGTTTGACTTCAACATCTTGGTTTTCTTTTTAAAACCATTTACCATTTCAGTGTTTTTTCAAAGTTACTGCTCTTTTCAGCAGTTGTCTTACCCTTCATATAACTTAATAACATACACACTAAATCATGAATTTATGCAGAAAAATCCACCATTTTAAATCACAGTTTTGGAAAAATGATCCACGATTTTAAATATTAACACAGGAGCATTAACATCTAGAAAGCAAAAACTTTTCATATTGTGTAGTTTTAAAATATTTTTTCCAAACACAAAGACATGCATCTCCTTTCAGAAACATTCTTGTGCCCATCAGTATGTAAATACGTAAGACTTTAATCTTAAATTTGGAATGTTTCAAACAATATACATTTTACCAGAAACTATTAATAACTACAATCATTTAGACATTGGTGGGAGTTATTTCCACTTCCAATCCAGTTTTGAATCCATTGTCACCCTCCGCTGAAATCCCTAGACCCTCAGAGTTCTCTGGAAATAAGTTTTATCCTTAGAAATAGTTCATGGTCTTGTATATCACTAAGTGATCCTTTATTCACACTTTACTTTTGTGCTGAATTGCAGTTTTGGTGTTACTGTTTGTGTGTTTGTTTTTATTTGAAATTTAGGAGGATCTGCCATTGTATTAAGTGGTCAGAGATCATTTTAGACAAGCGGATTTTAAGGAAGACAATCTCTAATGTCATAAATATCCTAAAATTAAATTTAGAACCTCAAAGAAAATTTAAGACCCGAGTTAATCATCATATGGATTTGAAAAATAAAAATTCAATGTTTAGCAATTTTCATAAGAAAAAAATTCTGAATAAAATAAAATCTTCAAGTTCTGATGATACTTCCTTTTTATAGAAGAGATTACTAGAAAATCACGAAAAAGTAGATAATGCTGATGACAATTATTATTTTGTGATTTCCATTATATTAAAAACCCTTCATATTTGAAGGTTTCAAACATGATCTTGAGTTCATACCGGAAATTATTTGGAGAAAAAAACTTTTCTCAATGCATGAAGAAATCATAATTTAAAAGAGAAATTGGTAAATTATTTCTTCCATATTAGAGGCCCAGAAATCTTATATGATTAAAAAATTCAGTACTTAAAATGCATAATTTCCCCCATCACGTTTAAGACTGATCCTAAGGAAGTCACAATGATGCTTGATCTTGTCAACCAAATTGTAACTTCAGTGACAAGACAACTTTTGTTAAAATAGAATTTGTATTAAGCTTAAAATGATGTGTCAGCCACGTGGGCTCTATCCTGAATAGAAATGTCTGGAAGTAGCCAGCCAATTGTGTGATGAGAAGAGTCTCTTCAAGGGCCATTCCTGGAGGGGTAGGTACTTTGTCAAAACATATAGGAATTTACATTGAAATGTTAGGGTAAGTCACAGTATTCCAACTTGAAACACAATATGACCATTTGTCAATTAAAGATATTGAAGCACAAAGTTTGGATATTAAACTTGTGCTTATTAATTATGAAGGTATATAGGTGGGTGAAG